CTTTTCTCTCCCTCTCCCTCCCCCCTCTCTCTCTCTCTCTCTTACACACGCACACAATTTATCTCTGATCTCTCAGTTTTATCTATCTATCTATCTATCTATCAATCTATCTATCTATCTATCTATCTATCTAAATCAGTCTGTACATATATAAATCTGTTCATATCTATGTATCTACCTATATGTCTACCTACCTATCTGCCTTATCTACCTAGCTATCTCATTCTACTCATATCTAAGTTTGTTCATATATATATATATATATCTCAGTCTGCTCATATCTAAGTTTGTTCATATCATTCTGTTAATATCTCCGTTTCTTTACATCTTTATATATATGTGTGCGTGTGTGTATGCATGTATTTGTCTGTTCATATCTACCTCTCAGTCTCTTTATATTTATCTATCTCAGTCGGTTCATTATCTATCTATCTATTTATCTGTTCATCTCTCTATATCAGTCTGTTCATACGTATCTATCTCTGTCTGTTCATATCTATCTATCTATCTATCTATCTATCTATCTATCTAGTAGTTTGAAACGGGTTAAAAGTAATGCTTACCTTTTACTCAAAACAGAATGAAAATAACGTTTAACTTATGAGGTCAAAGTAGAAAATAGAAACGCTGTAATTCTATCCCTGACCGAAGACCTAAAACTGACTGAAATTAGGAAAATATAAAATAAGATTAATAACTTCCGATATGGAAATGAAAGAGAGCGATATCAGAATTATGTCCTTTTTGTACCTCCATACCAAAAATAATCTAACTGTTGCTAAAGGGGAAAATATAAATTTCTTTTAAAAATGTTCACACTCGAAAAATGGCATTAAACATTACATTTTTTAATCTTCAAACATGGCCTTATTTAATAAAGGAAACTCTTGTGACGAACAGCAAATTTCAAAATTGCACTGAAAATTACAAGTAATTTATTTTTAAATAAATATTAAGTGGTATTTTTTTTTTTGTTGTCCAATCTGAAAAAAATAACGTTTTATTAAATTATGCAAGCATGAATTCTCAAAATAATTATTTTTTGAGTTTCATTGAATTATTTTTGGTTGGATGGGGGCTGAATTTTTCATATGTTCACAATTGATATTGCATGAATTTTATACTGAAATTTTATCTTCGGGGATTTTCCTTAATAAAACTATAAAAAAAAAAAGTATGAGCGAACCCCCCCCCAACCAAATTAAAAGTAAACACGAGATATCGAAAAGTGGCGGTAAAACATACCTCCCAAAATTCAGTAAAATATTAATTTTGCGTTTGTATCAGATAATTTCCTGATTTTTAGCAAATATTTTAAAACACGGTGTAGCGACTTTCTGCTTCCATTTCGAAAAAAAAGCATCCATTTTGTCGGTCCATATCCGATACGACCTATATTGTTTTGTACTTTTGGCGCAAACTTAAAAAAAAAAAACCTTTCTTAAGGGTTCTTTATATAAGACTCGGGTCTTATGGGATACTAGGAATCTCTATGAAATATATGGAATACGTAACAGTAGCAGGGTTCGAAACCGATTTTGGAAGTTGGCGACGGAGCATCGATTTACGATGAATTTAAATTCATTGCAAACACAGCCAAAACTTAAACTCGACAAATACACGACAAAAATAAACCATGCATCGGTAATCTTTGAGTGCCATTTTGAAATTCATTTTTGTCCATCAAGAAAACTTTCAGAATTACGACGAAATTCTTTCATTCGCATAAAAGAATGGTTTCTGTAATTTTTCTAAAATTCACTCTAAAAATAAATGTTTTATTTTCACATTATTAGTTGCATTTACGCTATATTCTTGTTTCGGTAACGATTTTTAATGCCTTCAAATATATTCATTACACTAAGGTTAATAAAACCGTATAGAATAAATTTTTAAAAAAAGTTATATTCTTAAAGTATTGGTTGCAGAATATGTAATTTAAAACATAAACAACAAATTATTGATTATTGCACTGTTGGTCTTTTGTATTTCTTTAGGTTTCATTTTTTACTTTATCGCGCGCTTTTTCGGACAGGGGTAAAATTACAATATTTCTAATATGTCCTTTAATCTCACCGGTTACTGTGTGTAAATAAAACGTTGTTTCCATTGTTTAAGTAAAAAGTAAGCATTACTTTTAGAAACATTTTAGTCGAGCCGCCTTTATATACGAAAAATGAAAACAATAAATTTAAAATTCCTTTAAAATCCAATATTTGTCCAAGATATGTGCTTCAAACTATATTAGTAAATTTAAGATATAATTTGCTGGATTTTCTAAAAGTAATGCTTACCTTTTACTCAAAACACAATGAAAAAATGTTTTATTTACACACGGTATCCTGTGTGTTTAAAGGACGCACTAGTAATATTATCATTTTTCCACCGGTCCGAAAAAACGCGCGATAAAAAAAAAAAAAAAACTACGAATGTTTTAAAAATGCCAAAAATAGTTTATTTATATAAGGAAATTAATTTTTTCTTTAAATTCGGATTAGGTTAGGCCATTATCTTTCAAATAGAACCGGAATTTAAATTCAAAGAAGAAATTTAAATTATTTAAAATGAGTTTTTTATTTGTTTTCTTTTTAAGAAATTCCATGGTGGTACCTATCGTACACACGATCTACGTTGTTTGTAGATTTGGGGCGCAAACTTTAAAAAACACACTTCTTAAGGAGTTCTTCATATAAGATTCGGGTTCTACAAGATAATAGGAATACCTAAATTGTTAAATCCGATTTTAGAGATCAGCTACTTCCCGGCGATTCACAGACACGAATTAACCTAATCCGGGTTTATTTTGCGAATAAAAACTTTATTTAATGTCCAACGTCCGCCTATAGATATATTACTATATGTATAGTATAGGCATGTTATACTATATGTAAAGTATAGGCATGTTATACTATATGTATAGTATGGGCAAGTTATACTATATGTATAATATAGGCATGTTATACTATATGTATAGTATAGGCATGTTATACTATAACTACTCGGGAACCCTAGCCATGCAAAATATCGAATAGGCGACCCTCTATAAAGCTAGGTCTGAAATATACCTAAAAAAAACCTATGTCTAACCCTTCCTAAGCAATTTGCCTTGTCTCTTATTTTAATTAAAGTTCAATTAACCCTTTCAGCCCTGACCACCGCTTTACCGGTGGTAGAGAAAAATTACTTAATGTCCAGCCACCAGCTGAACCGTGGAGAAACACTTGCGTCGTGTGTTTTACAAGCCATTCATTGCTCCTGTTAACAACAGATTGTAAGTCATGTTTTACTATTGGTTGTCTAATTTTGAAGCGCCAATCAGAAAAGCCGTAATATTCTGATGCCATCGAACGTTACACCAACATGTCCGCGCCTTTTCATTGCGTTTTGTACATGTGTTTTGGATAAAAAAAATATATCCTTTTTAACGTGAAGCGTGCAGAGTCTCAACCTGGACCGTCAGGGAAACAATCTGGGACAAAACATGCGAAAAAAGAATTCTACACAGTGCAGCAAGTAATAGATATGCTTGATGATTTAACGGAGCTCAGGCAGAAGGGTAAAAATTGTTCAGGGACCCAGGGCTCGAAGGGTTAAACCTTATCAATTCCAATTCTGATAAAAACCGAAATTAACGTTAAAAACTTTGCAAAGAATTATTTTTAAAGGTTTTATTTGGTCCGATAGATTTTTATTCATTTTTTTTTTCTTCATTGTAATTACGTATTTGAATTTATTATTTAATTTAATTTATAATTGATGATTCGTTTAAAAATCAGGTCAGTTTATATTTAAATTTATTTGAATTTAATTTACTAGTGGGTGCCATATTTTCTTTGCTGTTTCAGAATGAAGTTTGGTAACATAATCATATGTTTATACTTGCATTCTGAAACAATATGTTTCTCTGCCAGGAGTGACATTTATCTCTGCACCAAAAGGCACAAAGGAAGATGCATTGTTGTAATTGCAAATGTTTTCACTAAATTTGACTAAACTATAGTATTGAAAAAATAATTTATATGTGCATGAAGGTGAACGACTAATTGATTTTTATTAACAATTCCCGCAGACTTAATTAGATCATTCACCTGTATAGTATAAAATGAGTGTATTTTCATATATCTAACTATATCTCTGACATGATTGCTTGCTATTATTTACATTCGGACTGTTATCCTTATTTTCATTGTCATATTCACAACGTTTCGGCCTCTATATCTCTGAGATGAGGTATTATGTTTGCTTGCATTATTTACATTATTTGAACTGTTATCCTTATCTTCGTTGTCATATTCACAACGTTTTGGCCTCTATATCTCTGAGATGAGGTATTATGATTACTTGCATTATTTACGTTATTCGAACAGTCATTCTCATCTTCATTGCCATATTCAAAATTTTTTGGCCGTTGTACGCTCCGGCCTTTATGTCTATGTCTCTCTGTATATCTGTCTATATCTCTAAGATGAGGTATTATGATTACTTGCACTATTTACATTATTCGGACTGCTATCCTCATCTTCATTGCCATATTCACAACGCTTCGGCCTCTATATCTCTGAGATGAGGTATTATGATTGCTTGCATCATTTACATTATTCAGACAGTTATCCTCATTTTTATTGCCATATTCACAACATTTCGGCCGTTGTACACGCCGGCCTTCTTCGGGTGATTGGAACATCGAACCGATCTTCGCCCAGTGGATAAAGGCGTACGTTAGATCCAGTGACTAGACCCAAAGAGTTGTGAGTTCAATACCATAAGTGGTGAACCAAAACTTGGAGAGTTGAGTCAAAGGGAAATAAGTGAGACATCCGGAAAGGACATGACATGTGGAACTAGAACACTCTACCCCGGTGAACGAAATAAAGCGTTCGTTCCATTACTTCTTTAGCAATTGCTCAGCAGTTATGAACTTTCGGGAATCTGGACGAGAAAGATGTGCTTAAAAGCAGTATAGGACATAACTTAATCGCGACACTTTTGTGGCTGAGTTTGTTAAAGCTTGTCGGATGTAACGGCGGTTTTTTTCAGCAAAGGAGGGAGCAGGTTGGAATCCTACAGGAGGGCGCATTTTTCTTTAATAAGATTTCTCAAATATTCTAGTAGAAGGGATAAAATACAGTGCGTCTACTAAAAAATAACGTTTAAAGTGATAAAAATTAACCCTATTCAATAACTAACTGAGGTGTTTGCATTTCCTTTCGCACAAATAACCTCGGAAAAGGTAAGAATATGTCACTTCTCGTTCCTTCCTGCCAGATATAATAGAGCTGACTGGTCTCTCTCGCCTTTCTTCTCAAAAAATATTTGAAGGCAACATCTATGCTGATATTCGGTATCTATGTTAATGGGACAATTATTTACTCTTGTCTCGAGTGCAAGATTAATCGGTTCGATGCGGCCAAGTTCGTAGCTGGTCTGAAAAATGACGTACAATCTTTTGTTAACTGGAGCAAGGAATGGCTTGTTAAACTTAACGCCCCCAAAACGATCTTGGCTTCAATCAGATAGTAAGATAACTTCCCTCTGCCTTTTTTGAAAAATTTATCGAAAAGGGCAAAGAGAAGTTATCTTATTATCTTACTGAAGCCAAGATGCCAGATCAGGACCAGTAACATTGCGGATAGGTCTTCGGATTTTATCAAGAATCTCTAAATATAGAGCAGGAGCACTGGACCAAATGTGGCACCAATATTCAAAGCATGGACGAATGTGTAGACTTGTAAATATCTGAGATGGATTCTAGAGAGAAGAATTGTCTAGCACGACACAGTGAACAAACTTTCCTAGTAGCAGACCTAGCAATTGATTTAATATAACCTTTGCATTTCATGTCAGCAGAGTACGTTAGTCCGAGAAGGCACAACGTGCCACACTCCTGGTGGTTAGCATCAGCCATAGTGATAGAAAGTAGAAAGGGATCTCTAAATTAATAGAAAGAAATTTCGTTTTAGAGGCGTTAAGATTAACAAGCCATTCCTTGCTCCAGTGAACATCAGATTGTAGATCTTTTTTCAATCCAGCTAGACTTTATGAATTGCAGTACTAGATTGGCGGCAGGGTCTCATCATTTTACAGTTGAAATGTCTAGATATAACTATAAGTTCTATGTCAACAGTTTCTTCTCTCGCACTTCTTGCTTGTGGAACACCTTTCCGGATTCTTGCCTACCAGTCAACTCTAATCTTCAAAACATTAAATGCTATTCCAATTATCTTCTATCTTCTTAATTCTTGTTCTTTTATTGTCTTTTCTACTTAATAGTACATTTTCTCATATACTCTAATACGCAGTAAACCCTTGCGTCTTAGTGGCTTTATTGCCTTGATTTAGGTGAAATGATTAAAAAAAAATACTGCAAGAAATTTTATGAATTCTTTCACATTGAAACTTTTCTGCGAAAGTTTTTAAAGGTTCATCATAGCATAAGCCTTTCACTATCTGTCTATGTTAAGGGCGTCGGCTACCCCTGCGTAGGATTGAATTTGATGTGGATGACGAAATAAAAACTCTTTGTCAGAATATGGTGAATAATTATTTTCATAACTCTCTTTAAAGAATTTGTGTCTGACGATGAGACGAGTTCTGAATTTAACAAAAGAACACTGTTAAAAACTATTGTAGGCAATCTATAACCCAGATCTCGATAGCAAGTACGACACAAGGGCAGTTTAATGGGGGATACACTTAGAAAATTTAAATGATGTTCACTCTGCACAAGGCACGGGAGCCACTCGATGTAGAGGATTACAGAGTAAGGGGCAAAGTTTAAGCAGATATATGAGGAAGATAACGGTTAAGCCCGGATATGAACATGTTAAGATTGTTGTGGTCGGGGAAGCATCCTCATGGGAGTCCCTTTCACAAAACAGAGGTTCTTGAAAAGAAACCGCACTTCTCGCTTGTGGACCTCTCCTTTTGCTTCTTGCTTCCCAGTCAAATTTGAACTTCAAAAATGTAAGTGCAATGTCAAACATTATCTTCTGTGTTTTTAATTCTTATTCTTTCAATGTCATTTCTCCTTAATAGTACATTTTCTAATATTCTCTAATACGCAGTAAACCCTTGCGTCTTAGTAGCTTTATTGCCTTGCTTTGGATGAAATGATTTAAAAAATTATTGCAAGAAATTTTATGAATTCTTTCATATTGAAACTGTTCTGCGAAAGTTGTCAAAGGTTCATAATATCATAAGCCTTTAAATTCACTCTCTGTCTATGTTAAGGGCGTCGTCTACCCCTGCGTAGGGTTAGGGTTAGAGGAGGGTGACGAAATAAAAACACTTTGTCAGAATATGTTGAATAATTATTTTCATAATTATCTTTAAATGATTTTTGTTTGTCGATAGGACGAGTTCTGTATTTAACAAAAGAACACTGTTAAAAACTATAGACGCAAATCTATTTCCCAGATCTCGACAGCAAGTATGACACAAGGGCAGTTTAATGGGAGATAGAATTTTAAAAAATAATTTACAATGATGTTCACTTTGCACAAGGCACGGGAGCCACTTCATGTAGAGGATTACAGAGTAAGTATCTTTATTGTCTTTGATCTTCAAAACTTTCATTGCAATGTCAATCTTAATTCCTGTTCTTTTTTTATTCTCTCTCCTTAATAATGTTTTCTTTTTCTCATTCTCCTACTCGCTGCATCTTAGTGACTTTATTACCTTGTTTGGGGTGAAATGATTTAAAAATACTCCTTTCCCAAGCCAACATACATGTCCATAAAAATCTTAATTGCCATCTTCGCCAATGTCCATCTTATGTCCCAGACTTTATGTATTTAAGCGCAGTACTAGATTGGCGCTAAGGTCTCATCATTTTACAGTTGAAATGCTTAGATGAAAACGTAATTTTTATGCTAACAGTTTTTTTTTTCACTCACACTTTTTACTTGTGGAACTCTCTTCCAGCTTCTTGCTTTCCAGTCAAATTTGATCTTCAAAAATTTAAATGCAATGTCAATCGTTATCTACTGTCTTCCTGATTACTCTTCTATTGTTCCCGCTCAATTTCCGATTGTGGAACTCTCTTCCGGCTTCTTGCTTTCCACTCAACTTTGATCTTCAAAAATTTAAATGCAATGTCAATCATTATCTACGGTCTTCCTGATTACTCTTCTATTGTTCTCGCTCAATTTTCGCTTGTGGAACTCTCTTCCAGATTCTTGCTTTCCAGCCAACTTTGATCTTCAGAAATCTAAATGCAATATCAATCATTTACTGCAGTCTTCATGATTCCTCTTCTTTTATTGTTTTCTCTGCTTACTAATGTTTGACTATTTTTCTTCTTCTTACGAACTCGGTAACCCTTTGTACCTCAGTAGCTTTAGTGTCTTGCTTGAGGTGAAATGAATAAAAAAAAGCAACAAAAAACATCGATTATTTAGTGTGCGACTACCAACTCCACTTTGTAAAAACTTACTTGCTACTAAAACCACTGCAGCGCCACCCAGCTTGCCTGTATCCCTTTGCCCCAGAGTGCGAACTTGCTGGTTGAAAGAGGAGAAGAGGGAAGATTCAGAAAAAAAAACGCAACTATTAGGCGGAGTAGAGAAGGTTTGCCTATCGTCTGGTTCACACTGTTTAAGGTTGGGTTTCCGGTTCCTTCTAAAGTCTGCTTCAGCTCTATACAACTAACAGAGTTGGATTAACCATTAAGCAAGATCATCACATGCTTATGGCACCAAGGGAAGGGGACCCCCACTGAAATTGTAATGATATGATTTTGTATATGTCTAAAGAAATAAGTTAAACATTTGAATCAACAGGGTACCATTAGCGAACGAGGAGACAACTGGCCCGCAGTGAATCTTTATTGCCATTCTGATTGGTTAATAAAGGAATGAGCAAAGGGAGATAATGAGGTTTTTATTTACTCAATACATCACATCAGCTCTCTTGAATAAGTTAGTATTACTAATTAACTTAATGGGATTTAAATTTTGTGAACAGGGGTAGACTACCTTCATGTTCATTTGACCTTATGATAACCATATGTTTATGTGACAAGCTTATTTGTTGATTACATGACCACTTCTGGTCACAGTTCTGTTAGAATCTGGTTGTGGTTCACGTGACAGTGGCTGCTCAGTTGCGATTGGTTCTTTCTTGGTTGATGTTTTTCTGGGTTGTAACTGATGATCAGCCTCTCTCGATGGTCATATGTGCTTTCATTTCCTTCTAGATTTATTTCCAGCTAGTGTTTGCACGTTTTATGTTCTCGGTTAGTATTATTTGCACTACTCACCAAGACTCCATACTAGTATACTTAACTCGCAGATGTATGGGGGGCCGAAAATCTTTTAAGTGCTTAGGGCCACTATGGATCTTAATCCGGCCCCTGACTGCTAACACTTGTTCTTTCCTAGTCTAATATAATTCTACACAGTAACCCTCTAACTTGAGTGGCCCTTAGGCCTTGTATTGGGTGAACATTACTAAAAAGAAAATTCTCCCATTTTTATAATACGTTTCATGTGCAGTTTCTGGTGAACTGGTTTTTTGTTGTTGTTTTTTTACATACTAGTTCTTGTTCTTTGTTTTTTGATTAAATTTAGCAACCATCACTTATTAGGGAACATTTATAAGTTTAGATAACGCAATAGTAACGTATATTTTGATATATACCGCAAAATTATTCTCATAAATATATAGAAGCGTACAAAATTCATCGTAAAATCACATTACTTTTTTCACAGCCGTAGGTAATATGGCGTCATACACACTCAAAATAACTAACGTATAAAAAAAACTTACTGACGTTCGCTTAGACATAGATGTATACACGAACCGTTAATTGTTTTTTGTCTACACATATACCCAGATACATATATAAATATACAACTGCTGAGGTAAGTGCATGCTGAAAAAAATTCTAAAAACGTTTAGACCGGCAGTATCACCTCATTGCTAAAGTCTCGGCCATTTCTCACGTGACCTTTTGCGACTGACTGTCATTGACGATACAAAATATCGCCAATTCTCGCTTTTGTATATAATGTATGTTATGGAGAACCCATAAAATATTGAAACTATCTTTGCGTTTTGTATTTTTATTTTATTATCCAATCTAAGGAGGAGATATTTACAAAAATTAAGCAGTGGGAGATTAAAAGCAATTTTTTTGTGTGTTTTGTGGTTATCATTAATTTAGAGTAACGTTATCAAAAGATGGAGGATTTTTATGACAAGTTTTTTTTTTTTAATATTATGATTGTGCAGTGCTTTCAGATTAAAAAAAATTATGGGTGCAGTTTTGAAAATAAATAAATAATTGTTCGAAAAAATCAAATTTGGAAAGAAAGAAAGATGGCGAAGGGGAAAGAAAGAACGAACAAGGCGAAGTAGTAAGAAAAAAGAAAGAAAGAAGTAGAGAAAAAGAAAAAGACTACAGATAAAAAGAAAAATTTGTTCAGAATGTGCGAAGAGGAAAACGAAAGGAAGAAGCCGAAGAAGAAAGAAAGAAAGAAAGAAAGAAAGAAAGAAAGAAAGAAAGAAAGAAAGAAAGAAAGAAAGAAAGAAAAACTACAAAGCTACAGATTAAAAAGAAGGGAGGAAAAAAAGAAAAGTGACGAAGTGGAAAGGAAGAAACAAACAATGGGAAGTAGAAAGAAAGAAAGAAAGAAAGAAAGAAAGAAAGAAAGAAAGAAAGAATAAAAACTACAGATAAAAGAAAAATTTGTTAAAACCGTGCGATAAGGAAAAAAGAAAGAAAATGCACAAGTCAATTTTGATAAGAGGCAAATAAAGAAGAAGAGAAAAAAAGAATGAATGAAATATTTTGTCTTTGGTTTTATTTTGTTTTAAAATATCAAAATTGATAAACACGAAAAAAAGAAAGAATGAAATGCAAGACATTGAAGGAAAAAACAAAAAAAAATTAAAAAACAAAATACCAAAAAGCCTTATGCCAGACATGATATACATTAAGCGATCATCCTCTAGCTAGAAAAGTTCTTTCTGCGATAGACTGGTTACCAACCAAGTCTATAGGACCTAATGTGTCTTGTCTAGGAACAACTAAAGCTATAGGACCTAGTGTGCCTTGCTTACGACCAACTAAGGTTATAGGATCTAGTGTGTCTTGTCTAGGGCCAAATAATGCTATAGGACGTAGAGTGTCTTGTCTAGGACCAAACAAGGCTATAGGACCTAGTGTGTCTTGTGTAGGACCAACCAAGCCTATAGGACCTAGTGTGTCTTGTCTATGACCAACTAATGCTATAGGACCTAGTGTGTCTTGTCTATGACCAACTAATGCTATAGGACCTAGTGTGTCTTGTCTAGGACCAACCAAGGCTATAGGACTTAGTGTGTCTTGCAATTCAATCCCAATCTGGTCGTAGAAATATTTGCACATTAGTGAATGTAACTAGCCCGAATGGAATTTGAACTCGAATCTCCGAATTTGCATCTCAACTCGTTATAATTACGCCACACCGCATAACCACTGCTAGAAAAACCCATAAATTACCAATTTTCCAAAGAAAAGAAATGAAGAATAAAATTTTAATTTCGTTCATCATCTTCTGCGTTATGTGCCGTGCCATTGAAAATGTAGGAGATCACAGCCCTCCACAATTTCCTGTCCTTTATAGCTCTTAATACATTTTGTCTTTTCGTTATTTCTATTAAACCCTGCTCCGTCATCTATTTCAAATATGTTATGCGCTGTTTTCCTCTGTTTTCCTTCAATCTGTCCTGTGAGTACCAGATTTTCCAAGCCGTCCTTCCTCATTACACGTCACAGAAATTTCAGTTACCTCTTCCTGATGTTAAGTATAAGTTACAACTTTGTTTCCATTCTCTCTAAATCCTTGTCGTTGCTCACATATCCGGCCCAGGTTATTCTCAGCATCCTTCTGTAGAACCAAATTTCTGTCAGCCCAAGTCTCTTCATCATCTTTGCGGAGACTCTTTGGGTCTAGTCAAGGACACATGACCCAGTGGATAAAGACGTTGGTTAGATCCAATGACTAGATCCATAGAGTTGTGAGTTCAATACCAGGCCACAGCAGTAGTGAACCAAAACTTGCAGAGTTGAGTTAAAGAGAAAAAATTGAGATATCCGGAAGAGGTATGGTATGTGGAACTAGAAGAATCTACTCCGGTGGATGAAATAAAGGGTTCGTTTCAAACATGAAGAAGGCCGGAGCGTACAACGGCCGAAACGTTGTGAATATGGCAATGAAGATGAGGATAACAGTCTGAATAATGTAAAAATGTAAGTAATTCTTTTCCTTTATATTTTGTAGAGGTTCAATGGTATCTATGATTCATTGATTACTTCTGGTATTATATAAATCGCTTTCTGCTTCATGTCTTTTCGTGTTAAAAAATAATGAAAAATATAAATATGAAAATGGAAATATCTCTCAAAATAAAAAAAAACATTAGCAACTGTACAACAAAGTCAACAAAGCCCGTTTCAAGACCAATTTGAAGCAAAACGATCACTTAATAGACAAACGTAATCGAACGCCTCACATGAAAGGCTTGAACAAATAAGACTGCAATCTAAGAAATGTAATTAATTAAACGGTTCCTTTTTCCCGATAAGTAATTTTGTCAAAATGCAGATAAATATTTTTTGTAGAGATTATTAAAACTACTAAGTGAATTAATCACTCATAAATTTACTAACTTAAATTGATTTACCTCCCTTCCGCTCCAGATAGGACATGAAAATAAATAAATACACCGGTAATACATAAGTCAATATACATTGATGATTATTGTATGGTTACATTATTATTATTATTATTATTATTATTATCTCTTCTCTTGCATGGTTTTTCGTTTTCAAGTGGAGATCATGCATCAGAGAGAAGCAACGCGGACTTCTGAAGCAATATGGGATTCATATTTACTTATTATATAGACCAAACGCTCTAATGATAACTAGAACAATAGTAGCCTGAATTTCTACATTTCGGCTATTTCAATCCGGAGGTCAGTTTATTTTTTAATCTTGTCCTTAATTTCCTAATTCTTAATCTTTCTCCTTTGATATTAGAGTCACCAGGAAAAGCCACATTAATGAGTAGATATCGAGCGTAATGTCTGGCATAGTGGCATTAACGACGCGTTTGGTTTAGATGTTAAAATCCCACAAAATCTTGACTTGGTCCTTTTTTCTAACATTTTCTTGCTTGTAATGGTACCATATCTCGTCGACTTCAAATTGTTATTATTATTAACATTATTATTATTATTATTATGAAGAAGAAGAAGAAGAAGAAGAAGAAGAAGAAGAAGAAGAATAGACTACACGATCTCAACTGCCAAGCTGGTGGAAGAGGGCGGCGCCAGTCGGGTTGGTGTAACCAAGGCGGAGCTTGAGAGACCAAGCATGCGACAGCCCGAGGCAACCAGGTTTGTCAGATCTCGCCTGTCTCAATCCTCTTTGAGCCGCAAGGGTGGAGCTTCTGGCCAAGTGTGTCGGCTTCTCTAGCGTGAAGAGTTGTCCACTAAAATCCAATTCACGTCAATGGTCTCGTCAAACTCTCTTTGATTCACAGCCAACTTCGCCACCGTCACCAGGACTGGAGAAAGGGAATAGGGAGAGAGCATGGCGATCCCGATGATCGGATGAGATCGGGTGCTAACAAGACAATTATTATTATTATTATTATTATATTTGATATTCTGTTGTGTAAAAAGACTGACTAACCTTCTCTACACCTATTATTCAAACATAGACTCGTCCATCCGCTATGAGTAGAACGTCTGTCCATGGAACAGGGGCAAAAAGTTGGTCGCAAAGGCGTAGCGTTCTCCAGTCGTACGGTTGTCGCACTGAACTATTGTATTCTCAATCCATGTTCTCAGTTTCAATCCCTTCTACACTCAACCTTTTAGTCGTGGGTATGACGATAAACTACATCCGGCAGTAAGCCCTCTGATCGACAGATTGGTGGTTTTGAGAGGCGGGGAACCGCCTTAATTGTTATTCTTCCCAGGTTGGTTAATTTTACATAAAAATGTATTGCTGGTATTTTTACTAAGAAAATGTATTCTTATACTTTCATAGTGTTTTTGTTTTTGTTTAGGGGCTCACTATTTGCCCATAGTTGGGACCCTAACAGGTGCTACTACCCCGGGTCAGGATGGACCTTGAGAAGAACAGCAATTAAGAGGTAGCTCGACGCTCCTCAACACTTCCCGATCAGGAGCCTTGCTGCCAGATATAGTTCATCGTCTTACCCAGAACTGAATGTGAAATGGTAAACATAGATTACTAAAGGAGTAGTAATCTAGGACACGTTAGTAGTAGTATAGATGAAGTGGACATGTGGAAGCTTATAGTTGGTACTATTGGGGGTCATTCTTTTCGATCACGTGTTTTTGTGTATCACGAGCGTTTCAAGGTCGGTCGAGTGTCGTTACCAGCTAGCGAGCGTCCAAAGCGACCTATCACCAGCAACATGCCAGAAAATGGGGAGATGTGAGCTCATCTATCAACAATACCTGTTTGGCCAGCTGTTGTATTCTGGTACACCAGCATGTCTTTAATAAAATAAATTTGTGTGTCTACTGATATTTTGTTGAAACGGACTCGTAAATCCACTATGAGTGAAACGCCTTCTCATGGAATGAATGGCAATAGGTGGCTCCCAAAGGCGTAGCACTTTCCAGTCGTACGCTTGTCACACTGAACTATTGTATTCTCAATCCATGTTCTCATTGGATTAATCACTTCTTCACTCGTTTGTCCACACTGTTTTCCTTACAAGCAGCAACTATGGGCGTTATACGAACTTTATAACATATGCTTTCTGAGGTTATAGTGCCCTTATCTCGCAGCTAGAGGCACAAATGATGCCAGGCATACCCAAGGCGTCCAGCGTATCAGAAAGTTCCCTAGAAACAGTCCCGAGTGCGCTAACCGCAAAAGGGAAAACTAGAGCTGTTATTCGGTATATTTCTCCAGATTGCGCTATTAGTTCTTGGTATCTCTGTATTCTTGTCTCCTATGTCGTCACGATTGTTCGTATTCCGAGGTAATGCAACATCTATCAGGATCCATCCACGACTGCTCGAGTACGCAAGTATGATATCAAGGCGATTACTTTCCAAGCCCTTGTCAGTCAAAATAGTCGCATCGTACCCAAAATGAACTTCACTTGTTTATTCTCGACGAATAGGTTTGGTATTATTATTACCGTAAATTCCATCTTACAGTCAAACCTGGCGTACAAGTCGACCTCAAGATTTTTGGCTCAAAATTCTAAGTATAAGTCGAATCCCGAACATACAGTAGCCCCAAAACTTGGGCCTAACGGTAAATGAAGTTAAGCTACTGTAAGTGTAAGCGTTCTCAAAGTAAATTTGTCGCAGATTACTTTCACGACACAAAGAAAAATCACTAAGTACAGACTCGAGTATCGGGGGCAGAAAGAAATGCTGAAAACTCGATTCGCCGGTACTTAATTCACAATGCGTGTAACCAGTCAGGAAAATAACTCACACTCCAACAAACGCCGTAGCCAAAAATGCCCGAATTTTCCCTCCCCGAATCGAGAACACCAACTGCTTTGATCGGCAGAACCTATTTTTTTTTTCATTCGTCGACAGCTGGGATAGGATGCTCCGTAATTTGCATATCAATATCCTCTTATAGCGACTCCTGCGACGGACTTGTTTCTTTTTCCGTCACAGAATACACGCGACGCACTGTCGCTTGGGTTGACAAGGTAAGTCGCCGTTTTCTTCGCTATAAGATTTTTGCTGACTACTTTTTGGTAATCCTTCTTCGGCAGATCGCACACAAAACACGAACTTTTTTCCGAGGTACCTGATTATCTCTTTCACTACAGCTACAGTATACGATAACCTGTGCTAAAATTATATAAGGTCACACCTGTATATTAAGACATTAACTGTGATATCTTTCTATATGCGTTGTATAGAAAACAACCTACAACATACACCGGTAGGTACCTTATATTGCATTGGTATAACTTAGCGAACATTTCAAATTAGTCAAGTCTACTGATAAACATATTAAAGTCGACATCAACTTCTATAAAATATTAGTGTCATTACTATCATGAAATTGCGCAGATGATATGCATATCTAGTTGTTGGAATAACTGTCTGAGCTAAACGGCGCTTCGGACAGTGCTTACATTTAGTGTATCAGCAGTTGGACGTGATGTTCACCAAATACAAGTTTTAATGGGATATTTATGGCATCCTATTGGGATATATCTGTGGCAGCCATTGGCGGTACGGTAAGTGGTGTTCAGTAATTGATAGGAGTGCTTTTCCACTTGTTTACAACGCGGTGGTAAAGGTTCTGCAATTTTACACCCGTCATATAAGTCGACCCCTAGTTTCGGAAAGATTGCTTTAGGCTTGAAAACTCGACGTTTGTACGCCGCAATTTTATACCCGTCATATAAGTCGACCCCTAGTTTCGGAATGATTGCTTTAGGCTTGAAAACTCGACTTTTGTTCGCCGCAATTTTATACCCGTCATATAAGTCGACCCCTAGTTTCGGAAAGATTGCTTTAGGCTTGACTTTTGTACGCCGCAATTTGCGGTATTATTATTATTATTATTATTTGTATTCCCATCCGTTGTCACGAGTTCTCTGGTATATGTTGCTGGAGATTGAATGACAGCAGTTTTTTTTTTAAACTCTCCAGCACCTTTCACAGTATCATGCTAAACGCTAGCACAGATCGTTCTGAATTTTGGATTTTTTTTTTTTTTGCACGGTTCCAAGTTCTCTAACTATTATGGGTACGACGGCAGAGAGTAATCTTTCAGTCCCAAAGCAACCTCAGCTCCAGACTTTCAAACAATGTGAGAAAAGTCTGAAAAACACAAAGGATGTAGATACCAGTTGGAATAATTTGCAGAAGAAGACTTAATGCTAATTTTACAACACTATCCCAGATGGCTTTTAGAATATTTGAAGGACTGTGACCTCAGCTTCTGGCAGAAAACGAGAGAAAAGAAGACGAAGTTGAAGCGAAGTATCGTTGATGGCCGCTTGTCCATTTTCTGGTGACAGAAGTGTCACACGGACATGCCATCGCCGGCTCGGAAGATATCAAGCCGCTGATTGGTCACTCTAACATTTTCCCGAGGCTTCGACTACCGTTTAAAACGTCACTGAGGAACGTCGTTACGTTTCTTGCATTTGATAACGTGAGATGATGACAGCTGTAAAAGTTGACGAAAGTAATGCGGGTGGGGTCGGTGCCGTGAGAAAGAGACACAAGGAATTGCATATGAGCGTGTTGTGTCTTCGTTTGTTCTGCAAGGGTGTTGGTAGAAAGGAAATCTGTAATGACAGGAAGAGAGGCGGGCGTGAGGGGGGCCTTTTTTGACAGCTGTGATGTCAGGCTTTGATGGAAAGTGGTCACGGGTGCGGTGGGGGGTGCAAGGTGGTGAGGGGGAATATTTTCAAAAGTATGAAATGCGTAGATGAACAAGGCGCGACCTTCGGTGAGACACGTGTGATCAGAGAGTGGCCGCGAAAACTGGAAATGAGTTGCGAAGAGAAATTGGAAGAGAGGCAGCAGAGTGGAAGAAACGAGAAGCGATAATGAAAGTGAAAGTTGCAAAAGTGAAAGTGAAAGCAGAAACTAAACTAAAAGATGTGGAAGTATGGGAAATGAATTACAAAGAAAAGTTAGTGTTGATTAAAGGAAAAGCGAAACTGGAAACTGAAGGAAACACAGAACAAATGTGAAAGTATCGGAATGGAAGTGAGTTCTTGGCGTGGATGTTAGAGATTTTACAAGTACTGTCATGAAAAGAATTTTTAACCTATTAAGAATATATTATATTTCCCTGTTCTTTCAAAGGCCTTGCCTGTATTATAACTGAATAAGAAAGTATAAAAAACGGAGATGTAGGAGCTAAAGAAGATGGCAAAAAGAGAAATAGACGTTAAAGAAGAAGAAGAAGAAGAAGAAGGGAGGAGAAAGAAGTAGAGAAAGAAGAAAGACAACAACAACAACAAAAACGAGAAGAAGAAGAAGAACAAGAACAAGAAGAACAAGAACAAGAAAGAACAAGAAAAGAAAAAGAAGAGGAAGAAGAAGAGGAAGAAGAAGAAGAAACAGAAGAAGAAGAACAACAACAACAATAGCAAAAGGAATAAGGAGAAGCAGAAGAAGAAAAAGAGAAGAAGAACGGTAACGAAGAAGAAAAGAAGATAAAGAAGAAAAAATAATATGAAGAAGAAGAAAAAAAAAGGACAAGAAGAACAAGAGGAAGAACAAGAGGAAGAACAAGAAGCAAACAAAGAAGAAGAAGAAGAAGAAGAAGAAGAAGAAGAAGAAGAGGAAGAATTCGACGACTAAGAAAAAAAAAAGAACAATAAAGAAGAAAAGACACACCAGAGAAAAGAAAAAAAGAGAAAAACGAAAAAGAAAAGAGGAATGTGAGAGAAAAAAAAGAAAAAAATCAAAAGTTCGAAAGAAAGAGCATCAAAAGAAGAAATTAATGGTGAAATGAGGAAATGAAGAAAAAGAAAAACGAGAAAGTATGGAATTGGGAAAGAAATCTATAAATACGAGAAAATCTCCAGGAGAAAGAAAGAAAGAAAGAAAGAAAGAAAGAAAGAAAGAAAGAAAGAAAGAAAGATTGATATGAAAAAAGTAAAAGAAAGAAACAAAAACACATCTAAGAAAGAAACAAAGTAAACATTTTTAAAAGAATTAAAGAAAGATATTAAACAAAGTAAAAATCTAAGGAATGAAGAAAAGAAAAAAGAAAGAATAATTGATAATTAAACGAAGTAAAAATCTAAAGATGGAAGAAAGGAAATGAAGAAAAATTAATATTAAAGTAAAAATCAAAGAAGCAAACAAACAAACAAACAAACAAAAAGAAAACTATTTGCTGGAAAATTAAAAACTTATTTATAGATAGATAGATAGATAGATAGATAGATAGGAGCAGATTTAGATAGATAGATAGATTTAGATAGATAGATAGATAGATAGATAGATAGATAGATAGATAGATAGATGCTAGGATTTGTTTAAAAGATCACGAGGGATGGATTTGAAAAATATCCTGGGTAATAAAAGAAAAAGAAAGTAAGAGCTATTTACTGAAAAACTTTAAAAAGAAATCTGTTGATACAAGAAAAATGAAAAGAAAGTATTGTATGGTAATGAAAGAATTTTATGAAAAGAAAGAAAGAAAGAAAGAAAGAAAGAAAGAAAGAATTTTATGACAAAGAAAGAGAGAAAGAAAGTGGAAAGAAACAAATAAACAAGATGAAGAAGAAAGAAAGAAAGAAAGAAAGAAAGAAAGAAAGAAAGAAAGAAAAGAAAGAAAATTTAGTCGTAGAAATGAAGAAATAAAGAAAGAAACAAATAAACAAAAATTTGTCGGAGAAAGAAAGAAAGAATTTTCTAAGAATAAAAGACTTTTATGACAAAGAAAGAGGAAGTTTATAAGAATGAAAGAATTTTATGACAAAAAAGAGGGAGAAGTGGAAAGAAACAAACAAAAGAAAGAAAGAAAGAAAGAAAGAAAGAAAGAAAGAAAGAAAGAAAGAAAGGATTCTATAAGAATGAAAGAATTTTATGACAAAGAAAGTGGGCGAATTGGAAAGAAACAAAGACGATGACGAAGAAAGAAAGAAAGAAAGAAAGAAAGAAAGAAAGAAAGAAAGAAAGAAAGAATCAAATAAACAACAATTATTAACTTCAGATAGAAATCGGACGACAACTGATATTGTTCCATGATGTTCAGTATAAAGTAGAAATAAATTGAATGAACGAGATGAAAGATTCAAAAGAAACCAATTGCTGGATCAATGTCCAGTTGAGTAAGACAAAATCAACCGGACAGGTGAATGGGGATGTAGAGGCCGGGGGGGGTGTTATTCAATCACAACTGAGGAGCGAAATGGCAGTCACTGGAACAATTGGGTCACACTGCGACAGCCGCTTGCTTGCAAATTAGTGACACCTGAGTGCTTTTATGACACGAAAGACCTATGCCATATATTCCGTCCTCGTTTCGACACACCAATTAACAACTCGCCTCTATCGCTACTGAACATCGGAACTTGCTACGATGCACTTATTTATCGAATTCTTTTTTCATTTTCAAGTCTGTTGCTTCTTGTTCGCCTCGTTGCTCTCCACTCAACTTACTCTCCCGGCACACATTACTCTCCTTTGTCGATATTTACAAAACTCAGTTTAATCTGGCCCAAGACTACAAGTGCAATATATATATAGTAGAGCAGTATGACGAATGCTCTGCGAATTATGGAGAGGACCGTAACAAAAAATATATTGTCCAACTTTTTATTTATGGGCGATCATGACTCTCCACGAATCCCTTTGATTTGTTATTTTAATTTTCATACAGTCGGGTGGTTTACTTTCTCCACGATTTTAAATTCGAGCTGTTCTCGTCTTAGAGTCAGTGACACCCTGTATTAAGAAACAGATCTAAAAAAATACCTTGTGGAAGGCTTTAATAAACAGAGTGCCCCACGACGGGACTAAGTGCAAATAAAAATACAAAGAATACAAGTAAAAGAGGATATATATATATGTATGTATATATATATATATATATATATATATATATATATATATATATATATATAAAATAAATAAATAAAAATCGATTCTCCCGTCGGGTGCGACGTATGAGGGTCAAGCAGATCAGTTTCCAGGAAATTGACAGCCCGACACCGGCACATGAGATTCGATTATAGTAGTGAAGGCTGCGTGCAGGACCATCCACACTTTTTGAAGGGCTGAATACAGAAACCTGCTGCACTACGTGCCACAGGGTCCCCAAACAACCCCCCTCAGGTTTTGAATTCAGAGTTGTCCTTCTCCTAGACCAGTTGCCACCCAAGGCTATAGAACCCAGTCTGTCCTGCTATTTAACCCATAGGTGGAGGGAAAAGAAGAGGATTCACACCTTTCCTAAGGATATATATATATATATATATATATATATATATATATATATATAATATATCATTCTGTTTCATGCAAGAAGCAAACGTCAGGCCTGACGATTGCTTCTAGCATGAAACAGACTGTCCCTCTATGTTGACTTCAAAAATTCACTTTTATATTTACCGCTTTACCTTCTGATATTGAGCACTTTATCCCATAAATATACCACACCTTGAGACTATATTTCTTCATATATATATATATATATATATATATATATATATATATATATATATATATATAGTTTTAAAAAAAGCTATATTTATGGGATAAAGTGCTCAATATCAGAGATGGAGCGTACGTAAATATAAACATAAAAGTGAACATTACAAGAAAGAAAAAGCCAACTATTAACAATATTAACTATGAACAAAGCCACAATATGCTAACCGTATTCGGAAATTAAAAACATCCCTACCACACACTAAGACATACAAAGAACGCACACACTCATTTAAGCTGAAAAATCGAATCATCCTTGATAATGGCTAAAGGTATAGCCGAAAGTTCTCGGAAATATAAAACATATGGACAGTTCTTACACACCCTTTGTCCAGAAAAAAAAAGCCTAACCGTAGTACGTTGTCTGTCGTTTTTAATGAAACATGCATATATATATATAGATATATATATATATATAGATATATATAAGCTGTACTCTCCCGTCATATTCGACGTATGACGTCAAGTAACTCAGTTCGTAAGAATCGATTGCCAAACACCTGCATATATGATTTGATTATAGTGGTGAATACAGAGACTTGGTGGGCTACGTGCCACAGGGTTCCCAAATGACCCTCTGGTTTTGAATGCAGAGTTACCATCCAATGTTATAGAACCCAGTCTATCTTGCTATTTACTCATAGCTGGGGGAGAAGAAGAGGAGTCATACCTTTTCCAAGGGTATTAGCACGTAAGTGAACGTAATGGATTCGACTGGGATTCGAACTCGGCTCTCCGATTTCTCAATCCGAGCCGCTATCCATTACTCCACCGCAAAAGGGGAATAATTCCAGAAGAGTCCAAGTTAATGCTTATGACGCACCCAAGGCTAGAAGACCCAGGCTACCCTATTATTTAACTTTGTATGTAAGAAACAGAGATTCATGTCTTTCTTATGAACGAAAGTCAGTAAGACTACCCTGGGATTTAAAGTTCAATCGTGGATTTCAATTTTAGCACAATATCCGTTATTCAAACCGCAGATAATTCCAATAATATACTACTACTACTACTAATAGATAGATAGATAGATAGATAGATAGATAGATAGATAGATAGATAGATAGGAAAAGACCGCGAAAGACAGATAGATAGATAGATAGATAGATAGATATGACGTGACGGATAGATAGATAGATAGATAGAGAGAGAGAGAGAGAGAGAGAGATAGTAACAGACTGCCATAGCTAGCTAGCTAAATAGATAGATAGAAAGACAGGAACAGACTGCGATAGATAGATAGATAGATAGATAGATAGATAGATAGATAGATAGATAGATAGATAGAAATAGTACGTACATAAACTTATCCCCAACACTGATTACTCTTCTCTTATAAATACAGTAAATTTTAAACAATATACGCACACACAGACACACATACACACACACATATATATGGATATAATATATATATATATATATATATATATATATATATATCAGGAATTAATTGATTTTGTTTTAATGAGTTTATTTTAATTCCTTATTATTTCTAATTTCTATAAACGTTATATTTTAGTAGAAACGCGTGTTTGAATAAACGCCCTGTTTTGTGCACATAGGCTCACCCATGGTGCAGAAAGGTTGAAAAAAAATATAACGAATGTAACGAAACGCTAAAAATACACAATCCTTCAGATTTAAATTTAAATCTTTACGTCCGATGTATCTTGGTGTTTAACAGCTTTTTCTTGCTTTTTTTTAATTTTTTTTTAATCTTTATCGCTATTGTTATCCATCATCCCACATGATATCAGCTTTAGTTTTGTGAATCAAGGTGATATTCGGTATGGCCCTGGTTGCAAATCTATCGCAGAGGTCTCCGAAATTAATGCACTCTCAGTTTTAGCTTAAATATATTGTTTTCCCTAAGATTCAAAGCGAGACATTCTTTAAGCTGAAACTGCGAGGGTCAGATGAAAACTTCTTAGGCCAATTATGAAGTAATGAAGCTACAGCTGTAAAAGCTTGAATTAATTTCACTTTACTTATTAATAATTGCATTGTTTCTTTCCAGATAAACTGACATCTGACGGTATCAAAGAAGACTTCAAAAGTAACTTTTCTTTTTATGTGCCATGTCTTTTCAGGACGTAGGCGATCATGGCTCTCCACCTCTCTCTATCCCTTGCAGCTCTTAACAAGTTCCTTCCCTCTGCTTCTGTCATCCACCTGCTCAAGCCTGCCAGGAATGTCATGTGCTGCTTTCCCTTGTCCCTTTTTCCAGCTATTCGATCTGTGAGTATCAGATTCTCCAGGCCCTTCATTATGCGTTCCAGAAACTTCAGCTGCCTCTTCCTGATGTTAAGTATAAATAAGCCTCTTCCCCCGTTGGCAACCGCTCTAAAACCTCATCGTTGCTCACACGCTCGGTCCATGATATCCTTAGCCTTCTTCCATAGAACCACATCTCTGTCGCTTCGAGTCTCTTCTTCATCTTTGAAGAAATCGTCCAACATTCGATGCCGTATTCAGTATTCTTTTCTTTGTTACCAAAGAAATTCTCCCGTCTCGCAATACTCTACCCAGCTTTTGGAATGCGTCTTTGGCCATCTCAATACGTCTACGGATCTCAGTGTCGCACTTTACCGTCCTCTAACAAAAACGCTTCCCAGATATTTAAACTTCCACGTCTGCTTGATTCTAGCGTTCCCGGCCTGCAAATCGCATTTCGGGCTCATCCTCACAGGGTTAAAAAGCGGCAAATTCTTCGAGAAAATACACCAACTTTAATTGGTCCATCTCAGTGGCCCTCTAAAAGTCCAGATTTGAATGTTATGGATTACTGTATCTGGAGTATACTCACTTACAAAACCGTCGTCGTGACATCATCGATATTGATTCTATGAAGTCGAACTTCCTCTTAACACAAACCTCAAAGCTACAGCTTTATTCCTGAATTTACCACCGTTTTACTGGGCACCCTGGAGATGATATAGGAGAACTGATGCATTGATAACGTAAAACGTCGCTTTGACCGCCTACTCGCCGGGCGTCGGATCAGATGATATAGGAGAACTGATGCATTGATAACGTAAAACGTCGCTTTGACCGCCTACTCGCCGGGCGTCGGATCAGATGATATAGGAGAACTGATGCATTGATAACGTAAACGTCGCTTTGACCGCCTACTGCCGGGCGTCGGATCAGATGATATAGGAGAACTGATGCATTGATAACGTAAACGTCGCTTTGACCGCCTACTCGCCGGGCGTCGGATCAGATGATATAGGAGAACTGATGCATTGATAACGTAAAACGTCGCTTTGACCGCCTACTGCCGGGCGTCGGATCAGATGATATAGGAGAACTGATGCATTGATAACGTAAAACGTCGCTTTGACCGCCTACTGCCGGGCGTCGGATCAGATGATATAGGAGAACTGATGCATTGATAACGTAAAACGTCGCTTTGACCGCCTACTCGCCGGGCGTCGGATCAGATGATATAGGAGAACTGATGCATTGATAACGTAAAACGTCGCTTTGACCGCCTACTCGCCGGGCGTCGGATCAGATGATATAGGAGAACTGATGCATTGATAACGTAAAACGTCGCTTTGACCGCCTACTGCCGGGCGTCGGATCAGATGATATAGGAGAACTGATGCATTGATAACGTAAAACGTCGCTTTGACCGCTTACTCGCCGGGCGTCGGATCGTGCTTATTTCGATTCCTTCCCTGAATCTTATCGTCATGGTTGGCCTTACCAGTAGACGAAGGTTCGGAATATCATTTCATTCACCTTCCACGAAAATTCAAGAACAAGTTTTGAAACAAAAATTCGGAGAAAAAACACGTAATGGCTAAACATCAGGTTCATTTCTATAATTTAATATCGCCAGAAATTATATTATAGAAAACTATTATAGAGTAATTAACACCTTAAAATATACAGGATGTCCAGTAAAAAAAAGCGGCAAATTTATTCTTCGAGAAAATACACCAATTGTAATTGGTCTATGACAGTGGTCCTCTAAAAGTCCACATTTGAATGTTATGGATTACTGTATACTCATTACAAAACCATCGTCGTGACATCATCGATATTGATTCTATGAAGTCGAACTTAACTGAAGCCTGGAATTAAATTCCTCATTAGAAACTATCCACAAAGTTACTGCCTCCTGCTTATAACGATTACAACTTTGTATTGAATATTCAGGCAAATATTTCGAACATCTACGATGGTTGTTCAGTGTGTATATGAATCATGATAGCTAAATAGATTTCTTTCTGAATTTACTGCTTTTTATTGGGCAACCTGTGATAGCGGCTTCTCTTGAAAATGGACAAAATTTTCCATCGCTGTGCTGCAAAAATCTTTAAACCCCACGGACATCCCTGCTGATATGGTTGCTACACTAAGGTGCTGCTCCAGCTTTATCAACGGTACAAAAGCAGACAGCTGAATTTAGGAGGGGAAGAGTGAGTCTTGAAGATGACCCATGGTCTAGACGTCCTTCAACTGCCAACACCGAGGAAAGCATTGATCGTGTCCACCACATGGTGACGGGTGACGGGCGATTGACTATAAATCAAATAGCCAATGCTATTAGCACATCCCGTGAGAGAATATTCTTCACAATGAACTTGGCATGACGAAGGTTTCTGTTTGGTGGGTGTCACGACTTCTGGTATCTGATCGAAAGCGCACCAGGCTGATCACATCACAGGAAAATCTGACATTGTTTGACGCAGATACAGCTAGTTTCCAGGATGAGCTTTGGGTCCATCACTTTGATCCGGAGACTAAGAGATAACACATGTATTGGAAACACCTCTTCTTACCTGTTGCAAAGAAAGCCAAGGTTGTTTCATTTACAGAGAAGGTGATAATCTCAATTATTTGGGGATGCAAATGATGGCCACACCATCAATGGAGAGTACAATGTTAACTTGCTGAGGCGATTATGAAAGGCTATCAAGAATAAACGCCCATGGTTTCACTGGCTGCTGTGTATGATTGTGTTTTCGAACTGGTTGATCAGCCTCATTATTATTCTGATTTAACCCTATTATCTCCTCCTCATTATGAAAGAGTATTTGGCTGGGAACTAGTATCACAATGATGACGTTATATCTGCAGTTGATGACGTTTTGCCAATAGGATGAAAGCTCCTTCGCCAATGGGACCCAAGCACTGCAACACCGATGGAAGAATTGTGTGGACCGCAAAGGGGCTACGTTGAAATATAAAACCTCATTTGGCCTTTAAGAATATCTTTAGTCGGTCGATGAGCTTTTCAGTTGTATAGTCAAAAAAACGACAAATTTGTTGAGTGTATTAGTTTCTGAATGATATATGTGTATATATTCTTTTATTTAACTTTCTAGATGCTTCAGCTATGTATTTCTTGGTGCATTTTTACATGCTCTTTTGCAAACTCCTATTTCAGGCTTAATTTGGTTCTTTTTTATTTTGTATCACTTAAATTTTTGATTTTTATTGAAGTAATTGCGAGTAATTTTATATTAGCTTTAGATAAATTTTTTTCTTTACATCAGTCGTTATTGAGTTTGTAGTTATGGGGGATGAAAATAGTAAAATAATAATTAAAAGAAAAAGGGAAGACGAGAAGGAGGACAAGTGAATGAAAATATTTTTTTTTATATATAATAAGCAGAACAAGGAAAATACGAGAGGACGACAAAAAGAGAGAAAAAATGAGAACAGAAGAAGAAGAAGAAGAAGAAGAAGAAGAAGAAGAAGAGGAGGGGAAAGGACGGAATGGAACGGAGGGAGAGAGGAAGGAAGGAAATGGGAGTGAATGAAAAATAAGAAAATAGGGGCAGAAAATGTAAGAAGAAAATTTTAAGTTAAAAAAAAGAAGAAACAAAACAGTAATTAGAAGAGAAAAAATACTAAAATAAGAAAGAAAAGAGGGAAAAGGAATGAAAAAAATAAAGTATAATTCGAAGAAGAAAAAGAAGAAGCAGAAAAAGAAGAAGAAAAAGAAGCAAAAAGAAGAAGAAATAGCAAATCAGATATTAGAAGAGAAAAAAAATACTAAAAGAAGAAAGAAAAGAGGGAAAAGGAATGAGAAAAATAAAGTATAATTCGAAGAAGAAGAAGAAGAAGAAGAAGAAGAAGGACAAATCAATAAAGAAAAGATTTTTAAAAGTTTCTATTTCTAATTAGTACAATGAGGAAAATACAATTGAGAGAAGAGGCCAAAGAGAGAGAGAAAAATGAAAACAGAAGAAGAAGAAGAAGAACAGCAACAACAACAACAAAAATTTCCAAAGAAATTGCAAAACGGAAAATACAAAAGAAGCAATAGATTGTGTTTTCCT